GCAAAGCTTGTCGTTTCAAGTGACTACAAGTGATGGGAGAACACTCAAGTCTGATAATGTTGCTCCTGGAGATTGGCAATTTGGCCAAACCTATGAGGGGAAGAATAATTTTTAATTTAGTCCCTCATAGGACTTGTTTTGCACCTTTTCCTATGTGGGTAATTTTTAAGAATCATCTTGTAATGCAGATGGTGAATAATAATATGGTGCTCATTAATTGTGAAATCCATGATATATTAGCGGCTTTAACTTGTTTTCTTTACCATGAAAACTTCAATTCTCCTTAATCACTTTTGGTTAACTTCATATCTTAAAGTTGGATTTGCACCCCAAAGTGAATTAATAAAGCTCATTACACCACTTTAAATGTTCTCGTTTTTATTAATTAACAATTGTCGTACGTGAGATTTGAACTCAAAACTTCCGCGAACAAAGGGACGATTGGATGCCACAAAACCAAATGATCATTGAGAACCACTCAGTAGAGCAAGCAGAAAAAATAATGCACAGACCACATTTGATGGTGAAACTAATGCGGCGTGGCAAATACAAAGTGTTTTTCACTTGTTTGCACAGCTTTCGGATGCGGTCTTTTTTATGTAGCCTGAATGATGAATTGTACCAATTTATAATTCTGAAAGGCATATTCTCATAAAATACATAAATTAAAAGGCATACAGTAGCAACCAACTTTAGGGCAAATGAGAGAACAACATAGCCATAATTTATACGAATTTGAACAGAAACTGAAAAACTATATACTATAGGAGTTTATACATATGAATCTCATAACTTGCCTTTTCTTCCCTTTAGTCAGGTTAGCATCGTGCATAGCTAAACAAACAAAAACTTCTTGCCCTTTAAGCTACTCAAAAATTACATGAAGAATTTCACATTACCTCTCAAACATAAGATGAGTGGAGATGGGCTCTCTCTAGTCACACCAATTACCAAGATATTCTTCTGCGGAGTGGTCTTGCCATCTAAACTCACTCTGATATGAAGGCACTTCCAACTTGTCAACTTGCATACACCCAGCTACTACAGACAGAATGCAACCATGGTAATTCATCACTACCACGAAAAAGGTAGGAGCCCATTTCAGTTAAAAATCTTTCCCTGCGCTGACAACATAGAGCAGATCTTCCAACACATTGAAGAAAGATGTCTTACAGGGTAGTACCCTGCAATTCGTTCAAAAGCAATTCAGACCCATCACCTGCTTCTTTCTCGTCATCATCGTCGTTTGTAATATTAGTTCTATCTTTCTTTAATGATAGATCATCATCACTAACATCTTCATCAGCTAAGCCTATAAGTGATGCATATGACTTATTTTTAAGCTGTCCTGACTGCTTCAAAAGTCCCATGAAAACCTCTTTGCTTACCGAATTGGCTTCTTGCTCACAGAGTTCAAGGAAGGCAGACACATTTACAGGCTTTGGCCTCCAACTCTTTGATCCCTCTGCAGAAAAAGCTTCTTTCCAGCAGGATAATGCCTCAGAAATTCTCTGCTCTTCAGTATGCCCTTCAGCAAGGGTCTCCCATGTACTCGAATTAGGTTTTCCTCCTACATCAACCATGTGGTCATAGAAACTTTGGGCTTTCTCAAAGTCCCCGTCTTTAATATAATAAGCTATGAAAACATTTGCAATTCGAGGGTCGTAAGTTGACTTAACCGTCAACCATTCCTCATAAATCTTCTCTGCCCCTTCAACATCTCCTACTCTGAGTAGCGAAGACATGATAGCATGGTATCCCAAATTTGGAATGCTGGGAAAACTTGATTTGTATATGTTCCATACCCGATAAAGCTCCTCTTTGTTGCCAACATTACCATAGAGACTTAAAAGATAATGATAAGGTATCCGATCACGACCTGTGATTCTACTCTCAACCTTCTTCAGGCAAGCTTCAGCCTTTTCAAGCTGCCCCATCTTGATGTACATTGTAGCCATTGTGCTGAAAGTCGTCCAGTTGGGATTAACGGTTCTGTCCAGTTTCATCTGTTCAAATACCTGTTCCATCCGTTCTTCAGATCCTTGGGAGCCACGAGATGATAACCAGATATTGTAGGAGTATATATCAAGCTGGATGTTTTTCTCCATCATTTCAGAAATAATCGAATCAACTTTATCATACTCCTTGAGGTTCATATAGAGAGTCATCATTACATTAAATGGAAGCGATTGCAGCGCATGACCTTTACTTCTCATTTTATCAAGCAAAGATTCTGCCTTCTCTTTCATTCTAGTGCGAACATAGGCATTGAGCAGAGCCCCATATATTCTCCTGTCTTTTAAAGTATCTGGCAGGCTCAGGAAGTAATTTTCAGCACTAGCAACTCCCCGAACTTTAGCAACTAAATCTAGTTGAATTGCAGCATCACTTGTGGATATTCTAAACCTCTCTCCTCTGTTGCTCATCCAATCATACACCTGCAGGGTGCGCACAAATTCAAAACTGATTATTAGACATGTCATCAGTCCAAAAACATAAAATAAAGATATGCCATGTCATGACACAACTGAAATAAATAAAAGGACCATTGCTTAATAGATTAAGGTCAGCTGCAACCTAAAGAGCAGGAACAGTACTAGAAGTCTAGAACAGAAAGATGACTGTGAGCTAGTAACACTTGTCAAGAGCATTATACCATTGAACACGTATTGGAACACACACTTATGATGATAAAGCAGAAACATTCAAGGAGCCTTAATGTTGGCTTTATGAACACAATTACACTGCCTCATGATTTTTATTCTATCATTCTACTTATCTTCTTAGATCAACCTCAGTTACCAAATTCATCACACCCAAACCTATGTCACAGCTGCATCAGTTTATCTACAATTGAGGTTAATAACAATATCAGCATCAGTAACAGCTGCATTGCATTCTCATTGTCCATCCAGTGCAAAAGTGGATATCAATTAAATCTCATTTTCTCTGCCTTTGAGTTCAAACATAGGTTACACATTATCTGCATTGATTAACTGTTTGATTACCCTACCAGTCAATTGATAATTTAGTTGTAATTCAACTTAAAGTATTAATAGTAGATATACAAAGTGTCCACCCAAAACAGATAGTAATTAATTTTAAACCTGATAACATGTATATTTATACCAAGCGGCATGCATTTACGCACTTTCAAGTTGCTCTTTTTATATAGTACTTTCCCATCTTGCTCCTGCCGCCACTCCAAGGGTGTGTTCTATAAACAAATGCTCAACTCTTGGGTCTCCAATTCTAAAATATTGCAGACCTGGTGAACTTCACTATTTTACCACCTCTATCCTCAGACTTCTCCAAGTCATTCAGAGCTAAATTCCCAATCTTTCTCACTTCATTTCAAAATAGATCAAAACCCTCGCTATGGTGCAAGAGCCCTTCTTATATGCACCAACTTTGTAAGTAGGTTACTTTTTTATTTTGAACTAATGGCTTCAGACGAAAACCTGAGGGTTTGATTTACATTCACTAAAAGGTAATGGGAGAAGTTTAAATCATGGTGGAAACACTTACAAATGAAAATTACTGAAAGTTAGTTATATTCACTGTTGTAAGAGTGGGCCTCTAATTAAAACATTCTTTAGAAATTCTTCTATTGTGCAATCATGTTATACTTGGTGATTTGCAATTTTATACCCACATGCATTACAATATAAGCAATCTCAAGGCATACCAATCAATTTAGACAATAAGTTTCATATCTACCAATACGAGTACCTACCCATCAAGCAAAGAACACTCAAAAACACCAAATCAAAAAACCAATATAGCTGTTTACCCAGGAGCATGAAAACACCCAGAGAAGAAGCAAAAACCCAAAATCCCATTAGACCAAACCATTCCACATGAAAACAGAGAGACACCCAACCAGAGCAATTGAAGCACTTCCCAACAAAAACACGGCATGCCCACCAACTAAAACCACCAAACAAGAACCCAAAATAAAAACTTTGCACTTGAATTTGTCTTTTTACCTCAAGAGCTCTGTCATAGCGCTTGTACTTCCTCAACTCCTTGACCACCCTACAAAGCTCCCACTTGGTGAGCTTCCTGCCCTCCTTCTCCCACTGGTTCAACACGTCAGCAGAGCGCACTTCAGGGTCATCCGTGAGCGATATTTTCCGATATATCGCGTTCCATTTGACCATGGGTCTTCTCTCGTAGTCCACAGTGCCATAGTTGTGGACTTGGGATATGGAGCAGGAGATGGAGGGGAGTCTTTGGAAATTTATGGAACTGGGGAGGGGCAAAGTTGGAATTTTGCATGGGAGGATAGTGGAGTAGGAGAGGGATGAGGAGAGAGGGAGGTTGTGGTGGCGGTGGTGCACAGAAGTTTGGAGAGGCATTTTGTGTTGGTGGAGGGTTTATTGGAGGGTTAAGAATGCAGCAATGAAAATGGGAAGTGTGGGTTTGGTTTGGTAACAGAGAGAGATGACTCTGTGCTGGAAGATAAAGTTTGTGAAATTACTTCAAGGCCCTATTGTTATTGTGAAGTATTTTCCCTTTTCTCTTGTATTCTTTTACATCTATCCTTTTTGAAGATAGATATAGTTTTTTTTCAATTTGTAATTGTTTTGTGAATTTATTTAGCTCATTTATAGTTAAAGTAGAGCAAATAACAAAGCTAAGTCTGATTTGTGCACCAAATTAGGAGTTTCGAGCATAAAAAATCGAGTATCAATCATATTGAATTAACCTTTCAGTTTGATTTTAGCATTGTTCTCAGTCGCGATTTTTTTTTTTTTAGGTCGAATCACCCATGTTATAAATGTCACTAGACAAACACAAGTTAGTAAAGTAATCTCAGTGTCTTAGATACAATAAAGATCTAACTATATACCAATATACATTGTTGTAATTATTTTAGATATTTTGTAAACTAATCTCAATTTCTCTCAATGCACTGCTAACTTGTTTGGTACAAGTACACTCACAAATTCAGAAATTGGCTAATTCACAAATTCAGAAGCTACCAACAAAAAAAAAAAAAAAAAAAAAAAAAAAAAATTCTCAAATTCACAAATCCATAAAATTATCACACTGCATCAGATAATTTGGGCTCACTAGTTGGTCTGAGTGGAACTAATTCACCAGCAGCGCTAGCCTCTTCCTCAACAAAAAGATCGTCTCTCACCCTCAAAACTGCATGAACCAAAACAACTGGCGTCCCACAACCTAAAGTCAGAAACAGATGAAGGGCTGCACGGGTAAGTATGAGCTCAACCATGGTCACAATGGCCAACAAGGCCAGGACCAGTCTTCTATCAATGATCTTGTGCAGCACAACAGAATTAGGTACTACCCTTAATAGCACAAGGTACAAGCAGGTCACAGCAGTCATTGCCACCAAGAAAATCAAGGAAACTTTGCGCTTAGGCAGAAGGGTTATGAAGAGTATGGTCCATATGAAGAGTATGTAGTACAATCGGAAATAGCCCAGGTTTCGGATGATACGAACCGCGGCAGCTTCGGGGGTTGCGGGGATGTTGAAGGGGAAGAGGAGCTTGAAGTCGTTGCGGGTTTTTCTGGTTGTGTCTTTTGGTTCATGGGGATGTGTAGTTGTTGGAAGTGTTGATGTCGAGGTGGTGGATGGCCTTTGCATGGTGCCATAGCTAGCCATATGGTGTATAATAATTTGAATTGAAGGGTTTTGGAAAGAAGTAGTTGTTGATGTTTATGGATTGGATGTTCTGTGATATATAAGAAAATTTTGCATTGTATTAATTGTTACATTAAGATGATAAGAAGAAGTGACTCTAGGTACTTCAAGGAAGATGGGTCGGAGACGACTTTTGAACAGGACGACGACTTGACGACTTTTCTCCAAATTTGACTAGAAAACTGAGCCCAAATAAGGCTCTGATTTCAGTATAATGCTGTTTTGCCCCAGAAAGATATCACATGAACTCTCAGACCCTTTTTTTGGGCTAATTTTCCATGAACTATACAAAACTGGTTAATTTATCCCCAAATAGCAATCATCTAAGATGTCGTCAAATAAAGTCACGTATTCAACGCGTGACTCATTTTTGAGGTAGATTGACCAGTTTTACTGAAAAGTGGTATTATTACCCTTCTCATTTTGTTGGCCAAAACAAAAAGTTATGATTTTCCAACGGGAACTGGCAGCAAGAACGTCGATCCAAGACCGAGTCTTCTTTTGTTGTCATAGAAAGTCAAGTTGATCCCCGAGGGGACCCTGAAATCTTCACTTGGTTTCTTATGTTGCTTTTTGTCAGTCTCAATCGTTACGTAAATGAAAGGTCAGAATTGAATTTCGAACTGGAGATTTTCAAGCCACAATAATATCTTTAGACTTAGAATTTTCTTTCACGTACACTTAGCCATGGCAAATGCTTTACATGACTGTATATTATCAAAGAAAGTAGTGTGCAATATGCAAGAAAATCTGTTCACGTTGGCTAAGGAAATCCAACTATAAAATCTGTTAACTATTCTGTGCCTAATTCCCATTTCACGAGGGAAAAGGGTGTAAACAAGTTCCTACAACACTTGCGTGAAACAAGACACAGCAAACTTTGTCCCTGTTCATACTCAAATCAAGGTTAAATTCAACACATTGCATTAGGTCAGAAATAAGAATATGTTTTACTGAGATATGGCTACACTGTTTGTCAGACAAGCAAATATTAGAAGACGAATTAAGAGCACTTGTAATTCACAAATTTCCTTTCCCACTCAGGTGTACATACTGAATTTGTTCTATGGCATATTTTTGGAGCTGTATTTCATTCTAATAAGAAACAGGATTCTTGTCATCAGGCTGGAAGGTTTTCTCAATAAGTATAGGTTTGTTGAGGGGCCATGGCTGCCAAAGGATCATATCTGAAATGCAAGATATCTGTTATTACATTAGAGTTAAATTTAAAGGAGACCATTATTCATCTTCACAAAAGTTTCAACACACACTACGCTTACCTCATCAAAGTCACGAGCAGCCTGGCCAATTTCTATGCATGACATCTTTGTTTCTTACATTTCCATGAATATAAACCTTGGGCTCTTTAACCTGGAGCAAGGATGAAGTAGTTAGCATCTGGTTTTGATACAAACATGCAACTACTTTGGTGAAATTATATCGATTTTGTACCAGTAAAATCGGTGGGAAGCCAGTTCTTAAACGAACCCGTGAGAAACCATTTTCAGCTAATAGACACTTAAATCCATCGATGGCAGGATGTTCACTGTTATACATGAAAGGAATGAAATCAGACACACCATGAGTGAGCACATCAACACAAAAAATAAAACAACATAAGTTTGAATCCGAGAACATCCATCACAGTAAGAATGGAAAAACTTGAGGATTTAGATAAGCCTCACCATGTATTCCTTGAAAGGACATAAGCATTAGAAGAATAATAATCACAAAAATGTTTTTGCTAAAGGGAACTCTCTGCTTTTTTTTTTCTTTTTCTTTTTTCTTTTTTCTTTTTTTTGGTCTCGGATGCTTATTTAATCCTATGTTATGTGAGAATGAATGACATTCTTCAAAAAAAGGTTCCGAAATTTTTATAAACAGACTTCACAAATTTGATTTTAAAGATGTTCTGGACAGAGAAAAACGAAGACAATGGGAAAACTCACTTTATAAGATAGGTGAAATTTCTCTGGCATAATTCTTCTGGAGGAATCCCTTCTTCTTTAGAATACCTGCACCGTGTCAAATGAACTGATACACAAACCTTCCACAGCTTATACATCCAATAGTAAACTTAAAAGAGCATAATTTGTAGAAATATGCTATTACCAACCAGATCCTGTTGCATAAAATGGAAACCAAAACTTTTACGTTTTAAATGTTAGTTTTATAATTGTGCTGTTAAATTCCAAAATGCCAGTCCAAAGAGAGCGGGGCAGATCACTGACACCCGGTTGGATTGGGATCAGCACTTAATTTCTCAAATAGCTGTAACTGAAAAAAATTCACAAATAGCTAACGGGACTATCAGAGGTTATAAGGGAAGTTAAAACTAGGAGAAAATCAAAAATACCTCCATGGAAACTTATTTTCACAGAAGCGGGATATTCCATTCATGGCCGAAAAAGTATCGATGTGAACCCAAAGTTCATTTGTACTGTTAGCAAACTGGCCTGTCAAAAGGAAAAAATACATAATTTCTAATTCATATGGGAGCAACAACGAGAAGGTACCAGCTAAATTTCTAACACAATAAAGAGATATCTGACAAGATGCTAATAGTAAAAGCAAAAAAATAAAATTATAAATTATAAAAAATAATCCAATTGATCAACCATAACAAAGAGATGAGAAATACAGTTCAAATACTGGCTATGGTCAATACTAGGGAGGAAAGATCAAGCAATGCAGGTAACAAGCAGGACATGTCAGTTTGAGAGAGAGAGAGAGAGAGAGAGAGAGAGAGAGTACCAGTCTCATGCAAATGTTTTAGAGCATGACCACTGGGATAATTCTCATTGGATGCCATGAAAGTTATGACGGTGCACCCTAGACTACAAAATATAAAATCAGTTAAGGAGGTAGCAGATTATTGTTCCCAGTGAAACAAAAATAAATAAATATCTAACCTGATCAACAATAATCCGAGCATAATTGGATAGAGAAACTTCCAATAAGTCTTCTTCCTATTGTTATAGCTGTAGCAAGTAATCAGAATTTATTTATTCATTAGTATCAGTAATTGAAACCAAAAAAAAAAAGAGGAAAAAAATGCGCAATTTAAAGTTCCCAAGGTCACCTTATGACAATCCAAACTAATTTTTTGTATGATTTTAAGCCAAAGGCCAAATGATGCATTGCCATTAAATTGGTTAAAGAAAATTTTATTCTGGAAACCAATGCCTAGAGCTCTATGAGCAAAATTAGAGAAGAGTTTTTGGTCAAAGAATAAGTCTCAATAGTGGTACTATTTTGCATTCAGGTTTTATTTATGTAGGAGTAAACATACAAGTAACGCAACAATATGATTCTATTTGTGAAGAAAATTCCCAACAAATTAGATTAGATAACCAAACAAATAGACATCACATACACTCTAGTAGCAGCAATTGCAGCAGATAAGTTGAAGATGGGAACTGAGCTAATGATAAAACGAAGCTCCTGCATCATGAAGTAATAAGGTCTATTCAATATCTATTATTAAATTGTAAAAATAAGTCCATCAAACTTTCCATAATATGAGCACTATACCTTGTGGGAAAGCTTAGAGTAAAGTAAAACAAAGGAGAAGACTGGAAGAATGAATAACAAAATCCTTCTGTCCAGTAAGACCCCAAGCTGAAACAAGATTGGGTATCAAGTTAGGAAGAACAAGGGGTTTTGGAGACCAGAGGATCACAAGTATAATAGTATGCCTGACAAAGTAGCACCCACAACAATTATACATGAAACAGAAGGATTATATAATAAAAATATACTTTATTTCTTTGAGTACTAGACTCACCAGAAAAAGAGGGTATGCAGCAAGCAATGAGCGAGGGAGTGCTGAAGTGAAGTACCAGTGAAACGGATGTGTCTGAATAAGAGTAAAATGAAGGAAAACTAATAACATGTATTTAGATAAGTATAGTTGTCAATGAAATTTCACAACCCCCTTCCCCCCAAAAGGCAAACACACTTGATGACTCATAAATAAACCTAAACGGATTTTAAAATATGGATTGTATGATAAGAAATACACAACACACTTTGCAGATCGAATGTGCAAACAAACAATTTTTGTAAGGATACACCCCACTCCGAACTTCGATTCAGAACAGAGTTGAACCAGAAAACTTCAAATTCAGGCCACAGTAACCTTTTCCACATAATTGAATCTACTAATACAGTAAGACCTGCACTGCGAAAAATCCAAATCCGCACACTGATTCAGAAATTGTTGTTATGGTTGCAGAGACATGATCTAATGTATCTTAAGAAATTGAGAGTAGGGGTAATATTCATAGTAGTAGTAGCAGTAAATCCAACACTAATAATGAGACTAGTAATATCAATAATAATAAAACAACCTATGCATAATATAGCACACAAACTGCAGCATTTCAATGCCTTCCATAATGAAATTCTTCTAGTCTGTCGTTAAAAAAAAAAATATAAATATAAAAAATAAAAAAATCAAATCAAATTCTTATAGTTAGGCACAAATTACAAAATGCATAAATGATTATCCACCTTAACAAGGGCAAAGTAGAAACTTACCAACAAAAGCTCCAAGCCAAGAGGGCAAAGAAGTAACAAAATATCACATCTAAAGATAACTGTAGCAAAAATCTGAACATGGAAAATCAGGGATGTGTAAGAGATATACAAATTGAAAACAAAATGCAAGTTATAAGAAAATCATCAAAAGGCATATGTATAATTTTAATTGTAAGGAATAAAAGCAAACTTATTTCATAAAAATCATCAACGAAGTCTACCAAACATTAAATTACGATAAGATAAAAGAACAGAGAATATAATATCCTTAGCCAATGTGTCCAAGTAAGCCAAGTAGATGGGAGATTTTAAGTTTCAGTACAATTGAATTCCATATATGATGCATAATCTGATTTTAGCAAATAGAAACATACCAGACAGTTTATAGCTGCATAACATTTCTCCTTTAACCAATATCCATATGCCAAATTGACTACAAAAAGAAAATAAGTAAATAAGTAAACGCTGCCATGACATATGAATAAGCTAGCAAAGTCAATCCATATTTCAAATCAGAATGAAAGCTAGCATGCATCACAAACCAAGCACTATAAGAGCTATTAACTATTAAGGAACTATTTCTCTTTGTTTCTCAATTCCATAGGAATTTTATCCAATTGAAACAAATATGTTAACCAAAAAAATCTTCTTCTCCTCCACTTCTTCTGTAGGATGCAAATGAGAAAACCCTGCCACCTCCATCGCACGATGAAGAGAATAAGAACTGCTCCTTCCCAACTTTTTTGTTTCCTATTATGTGTTTTCTCACCATTGACCCTTAACATTTTATAATTACAAACAAACATTGTTTAAAAAGAAACAAAAAAGAAAGATGTGCAATAATCCTCTTCCCGTCCCTATCTAGAGCATACCGATCGTGCATTATTCTCTTATCCTTGAGTCAAACTTGTCAAAATGTTAATGGATTCATACTTGGAGTATCGGGTACTTATCTTGCCACATCAGGTGTCTAATAGGCAGTATCCATATCCAATGCTCCATATAAAATCTTGGAGTATCTTGTGCTTCATAGATTTTAAGCTTATACAACTTGCTCATAAAAATTTAAAAATAAGGCACAAAGAAATAATAAATAAATAGATATCTAACAAAACAAACTATGCTTTAAACTCCTTGCGAATTTACTTAATTTGGCAGGTGAGCTAAAATCACTGGAGTAGGGGAAGTGGGAAAAGGAATTACAGGACCAAACAACCAGTTGCAAAGGTTGGCTAGATAACCAGTTCATCCACACACACCTTTATAACACTAATCTAAAAGAAAAACAAAAATGTGCACAAGAAGAATTACCTACACCCAGAGCTAGTACATTTGGAAGTGGGCGAGTACAATAGAACAAAAGGTGGAACTGAACTGCAGTTAATATAACAAAGAAAGCTTCTACTTGAACTCCAAACTTATGTCTAACCTGCAGAAATGAAATAAATTTAAGGGTTAGCACCAAAAAAAAATTTTAATTAAAGGGTTAGAACTGAACAAAATACAATAAGTCCAATGGACGAAAAGTACAATGACAACTTAAAATACCTAATTGAATCATGAAAAGTATGGAGGATAATCATAAAAATATTTTTAAAAATTAAGTCAACGGTATTAAAGCTACCAGTTAAATCCAGATTGTAGCACAATTCTTTCATGCATCCAACTTTAAGTAATGGAAACAAGGCATGCAAGTTGGATTTTTCTTTCAGTTGCAAGAAAGGTTATCAAATAAATTAAGAAAATATTCGTCACAAGTTTTTCCCCCTTTATTTTTAACATTGCATATATATTTTGGCATGTAATTGTGGAGTCTTAGGACTTATTCACCTTAGGACCACAAGTTAAAGGATATACAGCCATAACAAGTCAAAACAGGCATCACATCTGGTTTCAGAAAAAGGATGAAACTACGTGAAAATGAACAAGGATTAAACAAGAACATACCTGAAGACGAAAGAAGCGTAATGTAGATAATATGACACCACCTAATACCAAACGAACTGGCAAACAGCAACTAAAACAATTTAGCAAATGTTTATATAAAACATATAATACAACAAATAAACGGTTAGAATAGATGTTCAAAGAGAATGAAAAGCATACTCCAAAGCATTTCATTTAACTTTTTTCTTTTCATAAGTAATAAACTTTCGTAATTCATGATCCTAAGTACATAATAAATATATGAGAGTATGCCTTTCAATTCCGACCAAATGTACCACATAATGTGCAAACAAAGTGCTCTACAAACAACTCCTCTAAGAGACTAGATGACCTTCCAAATCACCATTCCAGCAAGCAAGAAGGTCGCCCACAAATCTCAGCATGGCCATGAACACAAAAGAATGGACACTAATCTATATGAAGAGTAGATCAGAAGGTGGAATCATCACCTATTTGGTCCCATCTTCTGGGCTGTCATTCGTAGAAACAAAGCACAGATGAATGAAAATTTCAAGCAATTAAAGTACTAACCTGCAAAAATACTATAAATCTTTGATACGTGCAACAAGTCCATTGCTAAAACAGAAGGAGCTGCCAAACTTGATACAAGCAATGCACCTAGAAGAATGACGTAACGTAGTAATAAGTGAAGTTAAACCTTTTGGAACATTTAATAATTTATCAATGAATCAGTACAATTTCTGATTAGCTGATTAATGGCCCTATGAGACAAAACCCTAAAACAATTAAAACTGCACAAGAAATATGGCGATTGCCCCAAAAGCCTTCTTTTGCAGTGTTACTTGTTTAAACTGTAATCGCAAGCGTAGCAGTATTAAGCAAGTTTTACAAGCTTACCAAGGAAAGTGCGAGGAACCACTCCAGGGAACTCCAAATGATCATACTATCAGGAAGGCAAACATCCATCCAACTGAACAGTTAGGCAAAAGGGCTAACACATTCCAGAGAATAACAGTTCACAGAACCATATGAAGAGACAGATAAGTAAACTTACATTATCTAAGTGATGTCGATGATATAGTATATCATGCATTGCCTGATAAGTTGATAACAAACAAGAGGGGAAAAAAACACAAAGTTAGCAAGCAGAAGAACTATAGAAGCCAAAAGAAACAAGATAGGATAAAGAAGTCGGTTGCCCAGATGACAAACTCATCTTCCCATTATCAGTTATCAAACAAAAGTTGAACTTCAAATATTCATTTAAATTCTAGCTCATATACGTTATAGAAAAAATAGTTTGGCCTGTTTGACATTTCTTTTCTCTTTACTACCTGAAATAATGAAAATCTTTTCATTTCCAACATTTTTCTCAGCAACCACAATTACATATGCGCGAGCTGAAAAATTACAAGTATATAACACCACCAATCATTCGTAAATTAATAATTTAACTCTCTAAGGTGTATATTTCCCATTTTTCTCAATTTCTTACACTTTCGGCAAGCAACTTACTGAGAGAGTGGCAAAGAAAAGTTTTACCTGAACATTGAAGCTTTCTTCAACCTTAGTGTAGGGCGCCATGAAAACATAAAACGCAGCTATGGATCCAAGTAGCAAATCGTAACCATAGCGCTCAAGAAAATTCGAAGACTTGGAAGCCATTGTAGATTTAGAGAGAGAGAGAGAGAGAGAGAGAGAGAGAGAGAGAATTTTACAGGTCTACAGAACTGAGCTTCGTGGTTGCAAATTGGGCTTATGGGATGGGCTGGAGTGATGCTTTATTGGGCTTGGGCTTTCCTTCAGCTCAACCTTTGAAACAAAACTTGAACATCGTCAAAAGACTCAAAACTCGATCTGACTCGGAGTAACAGGCCAACGGCCATTGGATATAGGCCATGGAAGCTGTAACAGTAACCTCACCGCCTCTCTCTCTGCAACA